GCAGGATGGAGGAGGCTGCGTGAATCGCAGCGTGCTGAGGCCAGCCCTGGGTACGTGTCTGCTGCCTCAGAGCTGGAACATGTGGTTTGTTTAATGCTCCAGCAAAGCACGAGCCCAGGGAAAGTCTCTTTGATACAGCTGCACCTGGAGAGACATATTTTTCCTGGAGTCACGTCTAGTCTGTTCCAGGCTGAAGTTGATCCAGTTACTGTGGGAGTAAATCCATGTGGTGGTTGGCTTTTTTTAATTCTGGTTTCTCTTCACATCGTGTTGCTGTTGGATTTAATGATTTTCCCTGTGGCTTGAATGGTAAAGATGTGGTAACTGCTTGGGGATGGCTTAAAATCAAAGATTCAGTGTGGGTGTTGCTTTCCAAAAGAGAAGAAATAATGCTATTTCGAGAGCTGTGCTGCTATTTCAGGGCAGTTTGGTAGGTCTGGGTTCTGAGAAGTGGTGAGGAAAAATAATTGCTTTTGGCTATCGTGTCTCATATGGTGTGTCCTGAAATGATCCTCATGTACACATGGAGCTGGAACCCGTACTGAGCCTCTCTGCATGGGGATTTGTTCCCTGTCTCACCCTCCTGGTACAGAGGATGGGAGGAGAAGAAAAGATTCCTGTTGAAATTTTGCTCCCAAGCTTGCTGCAACGAATTTAAAACCCCAAACCACAGCAAATTCCCAAGTGTAATATGGACACCAGTGTTTATTTGACTGAGACATGATTGTGTTCTGAGTTGTGCAAACACAGGCATATTTCCCATTTAATTAAGGCTCGTTTTATGAATTAAGATTTCCAAACAATTGGAGAAAGAAGGAGGGTGGAAGAGATAAGATCTCAAGGTTTTGCAGACGGGATAGGGTACAGCTTGTTTTGGCAGCTGGAATGTGACTTTTGCAGGAAACTTGTTTGCAGCATTGTTCTATTAATTATGCCAGTGTTTTTAGCTTACAACCTTTTTTTTCCCCCTGTAGTTTACTGTCTGTCTTTCCTTCCTTTTACAGTCCCGAAACACCAAACTTGGCTTCTGCCAGGAGTGTAGGAGTGGCAATACCTCCCAATGCTCAGTGTGATTGAGGAGCTGGAAATAGGGGTTGGCAGAGCTGGAAATAGGGAACAATTCCCACTAAGGGTTCACCAGAGCCCGGCAAGCTTGCAAAGACACAGGAGAAGACAGGACAGTTTGGGGCTGGTTGTTGCTTGTCCTGTTTTGTTCAACAGCTCTGAGTTGTTCCAGAGCTATCAGCCCTTGGTCCTGTCACGCTGACAGAGCCAAACTGCAGCTTGATGCTCTGGTTTAGGTTCTGGCCAGCTGTTGCTAGATCCCTGGTGCTCAGTAGGATTTGGAGACCAAAGGCAGTTTGGAATTCTTGGCTAGATCACAATTTCTGTCACCAGGGTTGAGATGGGAATATCCTGTTCGCTGCAGCAGGTTGAGTACAACTGGTGTCCCCTGTTCTTCAGCTTCTCCTGACAGCAGGGGAGTGTTGTGGCAGGAACAGCTGTCTCTGTGAGGGGTGGACATTGTGGGATGCATTCTGGGTAGGTGGGATGCATCTTCTACCTATCTGCAGCCTTCCAAACGAGGGGATGCTGATGTGCCAGCGGCAGCACGTGCTTGTTCAGTCTGCAGGGGATTTGCAGAGCAGTGCCTGTACTGGATTTGCTCCTGTGTTGCCCAGGGGATTTGCAGAGCAGTGCCTGTACTGGATTTGCTCCTGTGTTGCCCAGGGAGCATGCCAGAGCTGTTCTTTTTGTCGCTGCAGTGGAACTCCTTTCAGCTGTGTAATACTGTAGCCTCAGGCACATGAACACAGCGTTGCAGTTTTTCCCGTGCTGGATGCAGGGACAGGAGGAGCTCTGTAGCCCAGACTACATTCTCAGCCCATTTCTCTGGGAATCATCTGGGGATGAAGGCTGCCTCCAAAGGGAGTTTGTGATGCTGGAGAGAATCACCTAGTCCTCCATTTTAACCCCACACTGTAAATCAAGATGCTGCCCCACTCACCAAGGTGTGTTCCTGGGAGCAGCTCCCATCCCAGCCCCTGGGAGCTGGCAGAGCCTGCCACGTTCTCACAGTACCCTTCAGCCAGAGGAGCACAATTATTTTCATTTCTTTTCCCTCAGATGAGGAGGATTTGAAAAACACATAATGGTGCATTTTATCAGCGAGTTTTAAATGGTGTGATTCATTCCTTGTGCTCTTGGTGTGACGTTCCTTGGTTTATTTTTTTGGATATCCGTGCAGTTCTGGCAGTGCCAAGCACTGTAAGGAAGTGCCCCGTGGCAGACAACCTGCTCTGCCCATATGTTCCCTTTAAAAAAGAAAAAAAAACCCCAGCTCATAATAGGAAGTCTTTATACTGCATGCCAAGACGCTTGGGGCTTGTTAAATATATTCTACTTGTCAACAACTACCCAATTTAAAAAGTAGCCTTGGTGTGAATCAGCTTTGAACAAGTTCATTTGACTCAAGGGATATTTGCAGGCATTAAAACAAGTTGGATCACAGTGGTAAAAATGTGCAGTGGTTTCCTGATCAAAAGCACCATCCAGTGTCCTTTTTTTTGGTTTGGTTTTGCTTTGTATTAATCTCTTTCAGACCTTGAAAAGTGCAGAGATTTTCCCAGTTGGTGATTTTGGAAGTTATTGGGGTGAG